GAATGAATAGTGGCATTGTAAAGCGCTTTGGGTGCCTTGAAAAGCGCTATATAAATCCAATCCATTATTATTATACAAATAATCACTCACAGATTTCATGACCTTCACGGCTCCAATAAGCTCTTTAAAGACTATTGTGCTGTGGGTGCCTGCGGTTGATTTAAGGCCTTGGCCGTGCTGCAGGTTTACTGAGACGTGGATGGAGTTTGCTGTAAACGGGCTCACAATCGCAGCCGGGAGACGCATACCACCAACGGCTCACGGTGCTTTCATCTCTCCTGGAAGCCCAAACGCCTCAGTTCCGTTGAGGCAGCGCTCACATGGTCATGGTGCAGCTTTGGACCTCTGCTGATGTATATGTGACGGGAGATCAGCGCCTGCAGATCCTCGCCTTGACGCATGCTCCATCATCGAGGTAAGTAAATCCCCAAAAGCTGATTCTGCTCATCTGGACATAGCAGTCAGCTGCAGTCAGCTGAGAGTGAAGAAGTCACTTGGATGAGTGACGAAACGTTTCTCCCACTGAAAACAGTATACGTCCAGATGAACAGAATCAACTTCTTAGGATCGGCAGATCCTGTTTACTCTGTGGAAAGTGTGTCAGTGGAAATCCACCTGACTGTGTCCTCGGCTCAGGTCGGCAGGGGAGATGTACAGGATCAGTTTAAGTCATTTAGTAAAAGTTTAAAAGCTGCAAAGCTGAGCACAAATGGTCCAGCCTCATCACAGCACAGCAAAGTGAAGGAAATCCAAACAGGAAGCAGCCAATCATGTTTGTCTTTAGAGGTTTACAGGTTTTTATCTGTAATATCTGATATATGAGAAAGGGTTTCCGCTTTAACGTCAGCAAACGGCGGCCGTTTATTTTAAACCCTGCAGTGAGGACAGACAGTTTCATCTGATGAGCGGTTTCCTCCTTTTACAGCCCTGAGCTCTTTGCAGTGACTGAACCTGCAGAGTCCGTCAGTGATCACAGCGCCGCTACAACCGCTGTGAACCAAACCAAACTCAGACCATCGACCCACGCTCAGCCTCTGCTGCCAAACCATCGAATCAGACTATAAGAACTCTGGTCAGTATAAAAGAACGGCATTAATCACACACACAAGCCCGTTCAGCTATCTTAGTGAGGACCTTCATTGACATAATGGTTTCCCTAGCCCCTTACCCTAACCCTTACTCTAAACCTAACCATAACCTAACTGTAACCCGGACACTAAAACCACATTTTGAGCCTCAAAAAGGCTTCAAACTTGTGAGGACCGTGAGTGTGTCCTCTGTTGGTTTTCACAAGTATAGTAGAATGCAGATTTTGGTCCTCACAAAGAGAGCTAGACAGGAACACACACACACACACACACACACACACACACAGTCCCTGTAACTGTGATTAGCGCTGTGTTGCTGCTCTCAGTCACGTCCAGATTTTGCACAAAGATTCACACAAACAATCTAAGGAGCTTGCAAAGAAAAGTGTCTGGACTTCTTTATGTTGCTTGAAGACGTTTCACCTCTCATCCGAGAAGCTTCTTCAGTTCTAAGGTCAAATGGTGGAGAGTCCCAGATATAAACCTAGTGGGAG